ATTGAGGAGGGGGGAAGAAAAAAAAAAAAAAAAAGGTACACCTGCCCCTGGACATGATATGACTCTTGTGTGGAGATTAAATGTCTTGCGCCGTTCCAGTTTTCCTGAAGAAATCTAGTTTTGTATTTGAAATGAAAAATTAGTGTGCATTGGTGCACACACAGATGAGCAGAACGGGTAGTCTCAGTTTAAAGCGGCTGTGTCCAAAGACTGTGTTTATTTGTGTAAGGGCAATTTATCATCCAGGCTCTTTGCAACCACAGAAGTGAAGTGAAACACAGAGAAATGTGAAACAATAACAATGAGTAACTATAAAATGCGACATTTTCCAGCTAATGTTGAAAGGATGCCAGCTGCAAGAACAGAGGAGCAAACATGCTATTGCTACATGTGGCCAGGGCTTGTTCAGAGGAACAGTTGAAAAATTGTTTGCAGTTTGAGCAAGTAGGAAGAGTAGAAGCTTGAGGGAGCTTCTTGTGTGATTTCTCTCTTTGAGGGGGAGGCTGACTTGGCTTTTCGATTGCACTACAGCCCAGGGTCGTTTTATCATTCCTTATTTTCCCTATTTGCCTCCTGTTCATCCTTTTCTGGAATGAAATGGTTCGAGTTTGGTTAGCTGGCATTTGGGAGTACTCTGCTAACCCACTTCATGGAGAGGAGAAGCCATTCTCAAGGCCCAGGTAGTATTGACTGATCCTAGGCTCGCAGAGAAAGGAAGCACAGCAGTATGGATAAAGAAAAAAATGGCCTGAAACAGTGGCCTGAAACAAGGAAGTTTTCATGACTAGGCTATTCGGTGCTTTTGCAATATCTCCAAGTGTAGTATCTGTAAAACCTCTCAGATGGAAGATACAGTCACAACTGTATAACGCAAGTGGGTAAAAAGAAGCAAGTGCCTTTTTAGAGCTGAAGAAACTGATTTAAGTCAGATCTTTGATCTCCTAGAACCCTGGGAATAAGGCACAGGGCAGGGTAGGTTTTATTGTAGGGTAGGTTTTATTCTGTAAGCTTGAGACAGTATTCAGTCTCTTCAGTGCACGTCTGAGCAGAAATATATCTGTCTGTCTCTTATTTGCACTGTTGTAAGTCCAAAGTAACAAAAGCCTTTTGAATCCACGTGGCTGTATCTGAGTGGAAACTAGGAATCTGGATAACTGATAAGTTGAACAGCAATGTAAAATCACTCCTGGGAAACCTGTTCACACAGGGAAGTGGTAAATGACCGACTGCAGTGTCTATTTAAAGCATGTTATGCTAACCCTCTGTGAAGATGTGTAACATGGGACTCATTTCTACTGGTTTGCAAAATAGGCTGATCCTTCTGAGCTATCTTCTATATCTTCCATTTATAGTATCTGCAGAGTAACTCTTGGAACATGATAAACTAAAACCATAAGCTAAAATCATCTTTTATCTTAATGTCTTAATGTTCCACTCTTCTTCTCCCTCTCTTTTTTTTTTTTTTCCTCCCAACTTCTTGCACATCTTTACCCTCTTGCTGACTAAACTGTTAGTATTTTAAACAACCTGAGTGCTATATAGGTGCAAGAGTCCTATAAGTGGCTCTGAATACATTCATGATTAATGGAGTAACATTTTTTACTGGAGCTGCACTTCTGGCTGCAGGCATGGATCGCTTTGAAATGTGACTTGGATAAATGGTATCTGCAAAAATCCACGTTTTTAATCCTTAAAGTATTTCATTAGCCTATCCTCTGAGGGCTCCTGTAAGCTGGGGCATTAAAAAGAAGAAATGTGCTGGTCATATGAAAATGTAGGCTGTTCTCAAATACTTTTGGAAAAACTGAGACAAATTAGCAAGATAACCTGTTGTACCTCCCATGGGAAGCTGTAGGCAAAAACTTGAAATAATTCTATGGCTCTCTCCGCTTCTATTTATAGATCTCTATATTCAGCACCTCAGAGAAGCCAACCTCTTTTGATACTGAGGCAGAATTTCTTACTTTAACTGTAGGATCATCATATTGCCTTCCAGGAAGTACCAACTTGTTTAAATAAAAAAAAAAAAAAAAAACTCATAAGTCTGGAAGGAGAATGGCATGAATGGTATCAGTTAACTTTCAGAATTGGGAGCTATTCCGAGGGCAATAAACCAGAGCGCCCTCCCCACAGCAGCGCTCGGAGGATGAACAAAGATTTTTGCAACAGAAGTGCTGCTATCCATGCAGTAGCTCTCCTCACTGCATGTTCTTTGCTATGCTGACCTCTAGGGAAAATTTTCTGCAAACCTGTTTGCTAAAGCATTTGTACTGAAAACGATCTAGTAGCTTAAAACTCATTGCTGCCCCTTGTCACAAGAGGGGCCAGGAACTAGGTGGCAAATCTGACACAGGCCTTCGGGTGAGGTAGCAAATGGTTTTGCTGCTCCTGCCGCTGGCCCCAACCTGCTGGGGTGACTCAGGGCTGAGCACACGCGGGCAGAGCTCAGCCAGCAGAGGAAATGTGAGCTGCACTACGGACCGGCATGTTTCGTCTCGAGATTTGCAAACTCAGGAAATTAAAACCAAAACAAGAAAAGAAGAAGAAAATTGCAGACAGGCTGGGTGGAAGCAGGGCAGCATGCACCTTTTCATCCAAAGCTAAGAGCACTGCTGCTGCTACAGGTGAAGCTCTAGCCTGCCAGCTTCCAGAAGAATACCTAGAGTATTTTCCCAAAGGACCTGAGGCTAAGTTTTTTCCCATCAGCAGGCAAGGAGCCTGCCTTAGTGGGGATGTTTCGCTACTTGGAAAACAGAAAACTCTACTCAGACTGGTGCCCATTAGCAACAAAACTCAAAGAAGGCCAACAGAAGACTAGAGGCATAGAAGATAATATTATTTTCATTTGTTTTGAAAGAACAATTTAAAAGAGAAGCCAAGATGATGGGAGAGACATGGCATATTCTGTAGAAGAGGATTAAAAAAAAAAAGTCCTGGGAGATCTTGTTTCTTCTTCTCCTAATACTCAAGCAGGGTAATTTCCTGGCAATTTCAGATTAAGAACACTTTTCCTTCTAGATGCCAAAGGATGAAGATGAGTCTGGATAATAATGACCACTATAGAGAAGTTTATATCTCACGTAGCATGATTCAGGCTCTTATTTGAGTTATTCTCTCAAGCAGAAGATCTGAGCAGCATCCTAATGTGTGAGATTTGCCACATTTCCAGAGTGGAAAATTCACTACTATACAAAATTAGAAGAGGAAAAACCTAACCTATTCATTGGTTGTGATAACATAGGATTTGAAAGGATCTTATTTTTTTAACAAAGTTCAGGCTTCTGCTGCTATAGGTAGCAGCCACATTTCATGAATGATGAAATGAACTCTATCAATGACTTTATAGAGTGACCAAGCTCCATCCCTTGCTGGATTTAACAATTTGGTTCCTCTACTAGCAGATGACTCCAAAATTTCCTTATTTTAATGAGCAACAAATGTGCATTTCCAGACTATGTTCGTGGACTGCTTGATTGCAGCTACTTGCACTAACTGTCCTTCAGTGCAAATAGTTCTTCTTTCAAGGTGTTTATCTCCTCAAGCTAATTTTACAGATTAATGAGATTTCCTGCTAGTCTTTGTTACGCTAGACTAGCCATGCTCTGCTAGTCTCCTCCTAAAAATATGATCTCCCTACCGCTAATATCCTTGCAGCCTACTCTGCACCTGCTGTGATTTGACTTAATCTTTCTCTGAATATGAACGACCAGAACTGAAGCAGACTCAATGATCTATCACTTACCTAAAATGGCATTGTTTTTTCTAAATTCCTTTCTAGAGTATGAGCAAATACAGCCCATTTTCATTGTTAAAGCCTCTGGTCTCATGATCAACCAAGACACGAGGCTTTATTCTTATCTCTCTTTTTCCAACAGATGAGTTTATAGAAACATTTATTCTGGTTGGAAAGAAAAATCCCTGCTGTATTTAATCTAGCTAGCTTTTTCACAGTGCCTTGGAAAACTTGAATTATTGTACTTCAGGCACTAGACAATCTTAGGGCAAAGCACAGATACAATTGCAGTCAAGAAAAGGCAGATGTATTAACAGAGAAAGACAGTGCAGTGAGACCTCAGACTATTCTTGTAAATGCTCGCACGAAATGTGAATGCATGAAGTACTTCAGAGAGTAAAAATAAGGTGTCTCCTGTGCCTAACCGGAAGAAAAAAAAAAAAAAACACGCAAGCTCTGTAGGATGATGGTCTGATGAATTCAGGTCAGATATTGCAGACATCACAGAAATTTTAATTTCTAGCTCTGTGTTTGTATGTGGAAGGACTATTTTTTTAAGAAATGAAGCGGGTTGAACACTGAAAGATTGAAAATAAAACTATAAAGAACTTTGGATAATTCCTACTGCTCTGGAGGGCAAAAAATGCAGCACAAATCTAGCAGATTATTTAAAAAAAAAAAAAAGTCAAGAAAATGTATCAAAAGCCTTAACAAAAAGAGGTTGTTGCCCATGAAGTATGTAGTAAATTCTCCTTTCCAGTCCATGAACAGATCAGTACTGGTTTCTATCAACAGTATCATGTCAAAGAAAGTGGACAGTCACTTGGAACAAAGACCTTGGCCAGCCAGAGGGTGCTCCTCCACCTCCAGCAAAGCAGTTGGGTGAAAATGGAGTGTAAGTTACAGTGCTTGTTTTTTAAAATATGTAAGGGTTAGTCCAAGTAAGCATTCCTGTTAGGGATGTTCTCTTCTAATGGCTCATTCTCCAGAATTTTCATACAAATACTTTTGGAATTGGTGTCGTTTTGGACCTCATCTTTCCAAGTGTATTTTCTGTAGTGTTTACTACTGTTTTCATCCCTTGTGCATAAGACAACACCTCACAAAATAACAGATCTCTGCAAAGGCATCGTTCCTAGGGCATAAAGTTTCAGTTTGCTTCAGACCAGCAAACCCTGGACCTTCCCAGAACTCTGATTCTCACAACATTGCAGGAAATGGCAAAAATGTATCTTTAACTTTATTTTTGTGCTCCTTTCCCTCGAACATGGCATTGTGCCACCAATGGCTTCAGCGAATCTGGGGAATGCAGCTCTCTGAAAGGCATCTGTTTCAGATATGCTTCGTAATGCCAGGACTCCATGGATTTCTACAGCTTTTCCCTGTGGAATCTGGAGCCTCTGCCACCTTTAGCCTGAGAGCTGCCAACACCGATAACGCTGCTGTTGGCAAATCCCTCTACAATCTGGAGTAACCAACTTGCAGGCAGAGAAAATTTACTGTCCCTAAAAGCCTGGTTTATAGTGAAGGCACTCCTCTGATGAGTCATGAGGCTTGTTCCACCTGCAAAAAACTCCACAGCTCTTCTACTAATCACACAGTTCTTCCAAATAACGTATTTTTCCTCCAGAAATGCTAGTGAATACTTGGGGGTAAACTGGAAATTGCAGCCTTTGTGGAACTGGCCAAGCCCACCCTGTGTAACTGCCCACCCTGTGTAACTACCCACCCTCTCTGGAACCGCTTCTATAGCGAAGGGTTTTCTGCATTTGGTTGGTGGTTCGTTGCTTGCTTGTTTTCCTTTTTTTTTGCTTTTTCTTTTTTTTCTTTCTCTTTTTTCTTTTTTTTTCTTTTTTCCTTTTTTCTTTTATTCTTTCTTTTTTCTTTTTTTTAATTTTTTTCTTTTTCTTTTTTATTTTTTTTTTAATCTGAGAAGCCTGATGTGTATTTGTTCTTGTGAGCATGGAATGCTTCACCATTTGCCACACCACACATGCTGGAGAACCTCTTCATAGCTGTTGAATATTCACATACGCAACGAGCAGCAAAAGGTACTGACAAAGTTGATGTTAGAGAAAGAAAAAAAAAAAAAAAGATCATGTACCACAGATTAAATCTGAGAAATGTTTCAATTTGGACAGTGAGGATGATATGAGATATGCTGCTACTGACCCCATCAATGCCTAAGTTTTGTGATACATAGCATATTCATGAGTAAATGCAGTTTAAAGAAGAATAAATGCACCATGGGCTAGGTCATGGTAATGCCTCTTGGCTAGCAACCTTCTGTCCTGAAATGGCTTCACCCTATGCCCTTAAATATAGGCTGAGTTTTGCAAGTCTCACATCTCTGTGATTCAGCAGTCACTTCTTTCCAAATTTCTAACATCACCAAACCGGCAGGCCAGCCTGTGAGCGTCTTTTGTTCACCAGCCTATGGGAGATTATTGAAAAAGAGAAAGAAACGAATGAGGCATTCTCAGCAAGGCATAGGTTTTAAGACAAAACATGAAGGACCATGTGTGTTTGTGTGTGTGCATACACGTGCATGTTCATAATGAGAATCATGTAATGAATGCTTTGATTATAGTCTTTGTAAGAAACATGAATCAGAACAGAGATAAAGGGTGGAGTAAAATAGCAGTTGTAAACGAAGGCTTGCTGGCAGTTGATGTACTGTGCTTTGAAAGGAGGGATACTGCTGCTTTGCTCTGGGAAAAGGGAAGAATCCATTGAAGGGAATCAAGGAGTTGAAGTAGTAGAAAAGAGGGGTCTTTTTGTTTTCTTGGTGGTAGCATATGTGTGGGGGAGATGTTTGTTTTTCCTCCTTTAGTTGTGTATTTTACAGTATATAGTTGGTTAGCTAATAAAACTCAGACTGCAAGGTGACCAGAAGACTACTAAGTGTAGAAGGAAAAACAGCAAATCCTCAAATTCTTCTTAGAGCACTTAGGATGACATTTAGGGTGGTATGGTAGATATACCTTTTAGAAGAAAAAAAAAAAAAAAAGTTGGGAAGTAGTGCTGTAGTGCTAAGCAGAACAAGAGTTGAAGTACAGGCAGCTCAAGCTGTGAAAGTCAATAAATTATGAGAAAGTGAGAGGACAGGAGAGGACAGGAGGAAGGCAGAGAGGACAGGAAAAAGGGGAAGAGAAAACCTGAGACTTCATTGGAGTCTGAAATCATCACTCAAGCAGGTTGGGAGAAAAACAGAAATATGCAAAGTTGAAGCTAGTTTCAATAGTGTCAAACATAAGAAAAAAAATGTTTATTTTTCAGGAAGTAATGAAACTGCTCTAGTGTTCAGTTAAGCATGACTTTGCAGAAGAAGTGTTTTCATCTAAGGATCTAACCCTGATACAGTTCATATACTTGCAAGTTACTAATAAGCACCCACATAAAACCAGGAAAATCTACTTGGACCTAGACTTTTGTAAACTGCTTTCCAGAGCTCTCTTTTAGTTTGCCTTGATTGTATTGTGCATTTTTTTTTCCCCATCCCGTGACTACGCTCACTTAAGCAAGTCAGAAAAGTAGGTAAAAAATCACTCTTGCAAAACTCTCCCAACTAATACTAAGCAACATAAAAAACTGTATGTGTTCAATATTGCGGGAGACATAATTGGTTTGACTGAATCTTTAATGTGTGGCTGTTCTCTGCTCTCGGAGCCAATGCCAAGCACAAGGTGGGCGAAGCGTAGGGTAGCCCTACCCTGAAGGCTGGGTTAGGCGCTGTTCTGCTCTGCCATGCAAAGAAAAAGTAACATGCCAAGATCTGAGGCTGTTCTAGCCTAGGGATTTAGACAGTTTTTTGGAGTCCCTGCTAGCTTCTGCACTGTTGCAAGAAGGAGCCAAGGCCAATGCTGCTGATTGCAAAGGTTTACTTGTACATAGGTCGATAGTTGCATGGATATGCTTGCATTTTGGGCTTCTCTTTATGTTTTCCGAATCCAAGCAAGCACATGAAGAGAACCTCCAAGGGGTAGCTTGGGCTGCAGTTCAAGGTGCTGGCTGAGTTGTAGGGGAGACTGAAGCATGCTAAAACAGGGCAAAAATAGGCTCTAATGAACCCAGTTGCTGCAGACAGCTGCCTTGAAAATGTTGGTGTGAGGGGCAGAAAGACAAAGTAAAAATGCTTTTATGTGCAAGGGATTACAGTCTTTTTCCAGCAAAATGTTGAACAGATATATACCTTGTTGGGCTCTAAAGTGAGGATCTTTTGTTTCCCTGTTAGGTGTGTGCTTGATCTCAACCCAAGGCTTTATTATTATGGAATTTCCCAAGTGCTTCAGGCAATAGTAGGCAGTGATCTCTATTCAGTTCTTGTTTTCAGCTGTCACACAATAAAAGATGATTGTCCATGTAGAAATAGGCTTTCACCTTATAAAATCTGTCTTTAGTTCAGTGCTCACTTGTGCAAAGAGTTTAAAACATGATTGTGATGAATTCACTGGATTTGCTTTGATGATCGGGCTCATAGGGAACTGACAGTATATTGACTAAAGCAGGAAGGGTGAAGGGCATCATTTTCCCCCGGAGTGACTAGGCCTATCTATTGAAAATGCACAAAATATATCAATCCCATGATTTTGCTAAAGAAAAGAAACAATTCTTTATTTCAGATGTGTAGGAAACTGGTCTTACCTGATTTGTCATTATGCAAATTCTTAATTTTGATATGGAATTATTGGTGGTGCTTTGTAGAACAAATGACGCACAGAGAAAGGAGAACTGCTCATATGAGACTCTCTGCAGTATATAGACTCTTAAAATAAAACAAAGAATATAGAGATGATAAACCTTCTTTATGGCTCTTGTTGTTACAAGCAGTCTGACCCAGGAAATACCTGCTCTGAATTGCTTCAGTAATATGATGCACCGGCACTTAAATCCACATAGACTTCTGGCAGCTTTGCATAACAGTAATACACGGGTGTCTAAGGGGAAAAAAATAACAATGTGTATCACGTGCTTTGTCAACAACTAGCTTTTGACATTCTCCCGCCCTGCTCACAACCTCAGACAGGTACTGTGGTGATGTCCCAACACCCCCACTCCTGTATTCCTGCATTCTCTTTAAACTTTTCTGCACACCAAACAAAAAGCATTTTTCTTTCCTTCTGGAAAAGGGAATGTGGTTGTGCTTCCTAGTCACAAGAGCTATAAAAGAGAAAACCCCAGAGAAACAGCTCTAATAATGCCTTGGCAGCCTGGAAACATCTTTATGAGGCTAGGGCAACTCCGACCAAAGCAGGCTTTCATAAAGAGACTAAGCATGATGAAGTTGCACACAGGACAGGTTTAGCAAACTCAGTATCTCACGAGTAATTTGTTAAGTCTCCTCTTTTTTCTCTTCCTAACTGAATTGCTAAGAGGACAAAATATTCCAATACAAACTCACTTTTAACAAGCCTTTAGCAACCTTGCAGGCCATAGACATTAGCAATGAACAAGCAATTTTCTAATAGGACAGAAGCCTTTCTTTGCACTATGCCTACATCTTGTTGCATGAATCACTAAGCCTTGTCACTAATCTGCTGCTTTATCTAAGAGAAAAGATTTAGTCCATCATCCATAAGTTTTCTTTTGTTATTTTTTTTAATTTTTTTTTCAGTCTGTAAGTATCTCAGGGAAGGGTTTGAAAGCCTGTAATTGTTCATTCCTCTCTCACTTAACCGTTCTGCAAATTCTAGTGGGTTCACAGCCTATATATTAACGTTAGCCTATACAAAAGCTAATGTTAGCCTTCATAATTTTCAGTCAAAGAATGGTTTATTTCAGATGTGTAGGTTGGTTTTAAGACGTAATATCATATTGGAATTGTATCAATACCGGGTTAATGGTCAATTCGACTAAACGGAGAAACTTATGAACGGCGTTTTGGTGGCCCCACCATCCTTGCATCAGTCAGCAGGTTCTTTGGATCTTTTTCTATAGATCACTTCTCTGTCCGTAGCCCTCAAGACTCTGTTCATTTCTGCTTAGGGCGCTTGTCCTGGATTTTAACCTGTTCCCTGCAGAGCCAGCCCCTTGCTGCCGTCCCTGTGTGGTGGTGTGCAAGGCGCCCGCAAGGTGAGGTGGCTGCTCTGTGCCTGGACTGTCTTCTCCAAGGCCAGGTTAGTTGAGTATTTGCTTGTGCCGCCCTTGTTCAGAGGAAAATGTGGTTGCTTCCATGGCTGCTACCATGCGAGATAAAAATTTTATTAAATGGCATCCTTTATATGGGCATTTTGGACTGGATTGAGCTGGCTAGTAGGCAATTTATAGCTGCTGCTTATTGTGTGGGGGCACGGGGAAGTCTTTTGTAGCTGAAATAAGCTTTACGATATAATACAACCCTCTTTAGAAAAAAACTAGCCAGGTCTCTTTTTACTGAACTTTTTTCTTAGGTGTTTTATTTTATGTCTCTTACTGGAGAAACTCTTAAAATTGCTTCAACTTCTCTGTGCAAGTAACCTGCTCTCCTTCTCCACAACAGTGTGCTCAAGGGTATTTTTTTTTCCAAACAGTGGCAATTCTCGGAGCTTTATAGTGACACCTTATAACCTTTTACGTCCTTTTATGTTTACTTTTCTCCCCACCCACCCGGACGGCTCAGCCAGGTCACCCCGCAGG